ACCTCGTATCGTATGTTATACACGATGCGGAAGCGACAATGCGAAAAAACAAGGTCATGGCAATGGTAACTCTAGATGTGCAAGGAGCTTTCGGTACAGTAATCCACAAACGCCTACTACAACGGATGCGGGAACAAGGGTGGCTTAAGATATTATGTCAATGGGTCGAATTATTCTTGACAGAACGGATGATACGTGCCAGACATCATGACGGAACTACGCGAGATAAAATAGCGGAGTGCGGAGTCCCGCAAGGTTCACCACTATCACCACTCTTGTTTCTTCTCTATATTGCAGTGCTTGTTCAGGATGAAAACAAGAAGAATCGTTTCGGATATGCTGATGACATTGCGGTTCTCGCTGTCGGAAGTACAGCATTAGAGGCAGTAACCAGAGCTCAAGAAGAGGTAAACAAACTTGTACACCTAGCTAATGAGAATATATTAGAGTTTGATCCGTCAAAGTCAGAGCTTATAGTGATAGGTGGAGGACCCAAAAAGAAGCTTGATATACCGGGCCTGTCAATTCATATTATAGGTCATAGTTTAACCCCTTCTTCTTGTGTGAGATGGCTTGGCGTTCGGTTAGATTTTCAGCTCAATTTCAAACAGCATGTCCAAGAATGGTGTGGGAAAGCACAACGCATAACTCAATTCATACGTCAAATCAACTCTGTGCAGCACAGTGCGGCTCCGGGGCTAATGATCAAAATAGTATAGGCATGCGTTCTTGGTGCGGCACTGTCAGAAGCGGCATGTAGACAGCGGAGCAGAGTCGAATATCAAGACAAGAATGCCAGGCAAGAGGTTGCAATCCTACATTATGTGTGAGATAGGTGCATAACCACTCGGCCAAAAGGACAGACCAGAATCATAGAACACTAGGTTTTGGTTATCTCCAGATATATAGATTATACAGTAGGCATTCCTGACAGGCACTATATGGAGCAGAGGCGTGGTTGCCAGGGCTCACCCGATTCACCACCCAGTGAAATAAGAAGGTGAGCATAGGAGTCGGCTGGCATACAGATCTCCTGGATAAAACCAAAATCAAAGCCGTTCGAGCGACACTACCGACATGGCAAACTACCCCAAGTGTCGCTCTACACAGAGAGTCGGGCGTTCCTCCGGCAGAAATCATCCTTCAGCGAAGGCAATTGAGATCCGTGGCGCAAGTTCAGCGAATAGATACCTGGCACCCACTGTTGAATAGATCTCGAGAGGGACCTAAGGAAACTATAGACCGCCTAGGACTCCGCGCAGGATAGAAAAGCCGTTCGTTTAAGAACCCGGAGCGATACCTCACGCAATTGCAGACTAGCTTCGGAAATGTGCCGGGTGCTGTGGAGTCTGGAAAATTATTCTTCCCAAACATGGAACAAAACAGCCAATCAACAAAACTCAACAAGCAGTCCAAAGCTGCCCAGCCCAAAATTTTGATAGAGAATTTGTCAGTAGATACTGTGTGTGCGTACTCAGATGGTCCGTCCTGTGGCTTGGCAAAATCTGCATGTGTCACGGACGAAGACGAGGCCGGAGACGAAGACAGAAGCTGATAATGAGGACGAGATATTTAGATTAATAATTAGATTCTAAAACATGAGTAATTTACAAGACAAAAAGCTACAGTACACATCCAGTCCTAGAGCTTCCATAAGCACACGAGCTGCAATACTATAACCAAGGGTGTAGTAGTCCACAGCCATAACACAGCAACTAACTAGTACTCCGAATGTCAACTGTTGCTATCACGACACTGTAACCATTACAATTCCTAAATCATGTTATTGTATGCACATCATGACTCGGTTTCCTGGGTGCGACGCGACATCCCAGAGATGGTTTGTGACAGCATGGGGATACACTCTGTTCAGAGAAGGGCAAATGATAGGAAGCAGAGCAAGACCTTTGCTTGGGGCAGAGCAAGACCTTTGCTTGGGGCAGAGATATACGACGCAGAGATTTTAGGAGCCCAGAGAGCACTTGAAGCAGCAATACTGGTAGCCGGCAGCAACCCTACCAAAGTACTCCTAGACAGCTCAGAATCCATCCAAGCTTTGCGCAGCGGAAGGTCGAGATCCTTCCAAGGAATAGTTGAAAAGTTTGTCTCTGACTGTCGAAATCACCAGTCGGTAGAGATTCAATGGATCCCGGGACACTCAGGGATTGTAGGGAATGAGAGGGCAGACAAGCTTGCCAAAGCAGCATTGAGGGATCTTCCGGACGAAAGAACCAATATAACGCCCTATACAGAAGCAGATCGAAGAATAAGATTTACGTTCGCATAAATCAACAGGCTCGTGAGGGAACGTGCAGACGAGTTGGTGGCAGCATGGTGGCAGAAACATGTGCATCGACACTACCTGGACTTAAACCTGAAGATGACACGCAAACGACCTCCTGAACTTGCTCTGCCGAGATGGGCGTACCACAGGTTGATTGCGGCTAGGATAGGACACGGTGATTTCGTCAAATATCACGAAAGATTCAAGCATGAAGATGTTATCAGCAAGTGTGAATGCGGACAAAAAAAATGCCCGTGGCACTTTGCAGAATGCCGACCAGCTTTACAGCATTGGAAAAGTATTAAACGAGAAGCCTCCCCGAGGGCGAGCGAGATGCTGGCAGAAAATGGATGGGAAAAATTCTTTGAATTCGTGACTATAACCAAATGTTATGGTGCACAAAATGTATACTGGGAAGCCTAGGTACTCCTAGGGGTCTTCGATATTTTTCCTTTGGATAGCTGTTGGGAAAATTAGGACAAGGTGCAGGGCGGATTTGTTCGGACGCCACTATTTTTCATTTTATCATCTGTCTATTATTTTATATAGATTCTCTGGCAAGATAAGCCCTTCATGTAGGTAGTAGTGAGTCTGCATGGATCACATACTCGTATCACGCCTCGTGGGTGTAGGGCTTTTGCCTGATACGACTAGAATACATCCATACATATGTACGCGGGACACTGATCATATGTCCTAGCTAGCTGGCCACATAACACTTGAAGAATTGAAAGAAAAAGAATGTGCTGGGAATTCCGATATCACAACTCTTTTCAATCACCTGCTGGTGTTGTGATTAATGATATAACCACACTTACATCTGGTTACTGTGGATCACAGAGATGTAGAATCTGATGGTTAAAACAGAACAGTCTAGAGTCAGATAGAATAGAACAGGATGGAATAGAATGTGATGACTCAGAGCTGAACGGAACTGAGCGACTGGGGATATGGAAAGCCATAGAATGTGGTATATATATATAAAAGTAGTGATTCTCTAAACTTGAATGAAAGCAAGCAAGTCTACTAATTCATTACAATCTACCTCTATCTTCAAGTTTCAGTGAACGTGCAGTTACTTACCGGTAACTATTCCACCTCCCATAACCTTGCATTAATAACGGTTGGAGATGTTCTATATTCGCCGAGGACCAGTAGACTTGTTGTGAGCCGCGAACATAACGGAGTTGAGGTGTATGGTCATGGTATCTTCGTTCAGAATGATAGACTCCTAGCCCTGCAGCCATGGAAGAGCGACGAGAGCGCGAGTTTCAAATGTCGAATGTTTTGGTTGTATGGGTTAGCTGTAAATTGATCGGACTAGCCTGTCCAACAGAATCAAGACAGCTGAGGTATTTACTCCAATCAAGCCCTGAGGTCATAGTTTTGAATTCCACAAGGCTTGACCATATCCCGCGCGGTCACTTTAGACAGGGTGGCAGAGGTATTCTTCGATGAACATATGGATTGGGTCTTACATCTGGCAGACCTTCACGAATAATTGTTTTCAGATCTACCGTCACCAATTTTTCATCGCGCAATTTGCAGCATACTAATGCAGACTGTACGAATCAACGGCACTCCCTAGCGTCCTGGACGGCACGGAAGAAGTTGGGCTAAGCTACCGTACAGCAAACACGCTCTGTCAAGACTTTTCTGACATTTCAGCACGACCTTCGGGAGGAGTTGGAAGGAGACTAGAAATGCAGAGTGTGAATTTCCCGAGGTACCCACAAGTCTACAGCGCCCAGCTGGCCGACCTCTTCGAACGCTTCAGAAGAATCACTGTCCCAAGATTTAGTCCTAGTGTCATTATTAGAAGAGCTCCGCACCCAGAGGTTCTTGCGATTTTTCCCGGCTGCCTTACACCCGTAAATGGCCATCGTCTCGTTGGCTGGAGAGGAGAGACAATGAAGGGTGATGCGCTCCTCTAAGTGTATGATCGAATGAGAACTTGTGAGGGGCGGTGCTGTTTGAGGGGAGCTGTATGAGAGGCATAGGTATCCTTGTACTATAGGCAGAGAGGACCTTCATGTCCTACATGGCCACAGACTCAGAAAGGACAATAAAATGAATTAAGAGAAATACAGGCTATTCAAGCTGTGGTTCCGTTCAGTTAGTAGAATTGTCCTCAATTACTTTCATGGGTGATCCCATTAGTCCACGGTGACATAGAGATCGCATTTCATTTAATTCTCAGATCTACGTTGCCTAATTTTTTGATTAATATGTAGGATGATGTGATAATTGGGGCTATCAGGTAGGCCACGTTGTTGGTACAAACGTGACTACAAATTCTGTAGTTAGTTTCACTTCCATAGTTACTTGCATCAAAGCGCTCTATAACCTCAATGACTGAGGAGTCTATATTTCCTTGATATGATAGCTGTATTTACCAATTCGCATTCGTTGTGCATGAAGATCTTTTGTTAGCCATTGAACAGGAATCCGTGTTTCTAGATTATGGCCGCTAGGATATGCAGCCACTTAATGCAATAAATCATTAGACTTTCATTTATCATTTGCTTGTTCCGGCTTCTACACTAGATCCCCGCAAAGTGTGCGGCCAAATACGAAGATTTAGTCTACCAATCGGTGAGAGCCTGAGGTATTTTCCTCATTATCATTCAGGAATTGGTAAAAAAACGCCATTGCGCCATTTCGTATCTCGGGTGGGCTACTGAGTCATTTAGTTGCCAAGAATTAGCCCTACCTGTTACCGTCGACGACCGTACAACTTATCTCCTGTCCTACCAGAGCTATTTGGTGGATAAACTCTCTGAGAGGATGATTTCTCTTCCATCTCGTCTTTGTACGTCTTATATTCTGCTAAAGGCATGGCTTGATCGGCATCGCAGTTGAATAGCTGCATAATTTCATTCATACCAAGCTTAGAAACGCCTCCATTTTTACCACCCTCAATGGTCTCGTTCGCCAATGCGCGTTTCTTGTCCTGTAATTCTAGGATGCGTTCTTCGACTGTTTTAGAGATCGTAATCTTGTAAATAATTACGTCCGTCTTCTGCGTGAGACGGTGCACTCGATCAATGGCTTGCTCTTCAACAAACTAAACATTGTAAATTAAGTGAGGTGGCAATTCAATACGAGGGGTTTCTTACTGGGTTCCAGAAAGGCTCAAGGATTACTACTCGGGTAGCAGCTGTTAAGTTTAGTCCAAGGGAGCCACATTTCAAGCTGCATAATAGTATTCTACATTTCTTATCGTTACGAAGTTTCGCCAGACTAGCCTCACGCGAATCATTTCTCATACTTCCATCATAACGAGAGAATACGAGATCATTGGCGTGAAAAAATGGTTCGATTAGGTTCAACATTGAGGTAAACTGCGAAAAGACAATAAATTTGTGCTCATGAACCTCCTCTTTGAGTATCTTAATCAGTTGAGTAATTTTAGTTGAGGTTGCCACATTTGTTAGCTGTGGAACCTTCGAAGACTTTGTCTTGAAGTCATCGTCTTGATCCGAAGCTGTATTAGAGTCATGAGATGCTTCGTTGTTAGGGCTGAGCCATTCACCTCCACCCTCAGCATTTTCATCTTCAATACCACCGGCACGTTTTGTTTTCATCTGAACACCTTTATCTTCTATGTCCAGGGGGTTATCGTCATCAGAATCATAGCTGGTGCATTTGGAGACCTTTCGATTTCGTCTTAAATTGCGACGTCTCGGTATCTCTTGTTTTCCATTTCTTGGTGCTACTTCGTTGTCTTTAATCATATACTTGACATCTTCCTCGCATTCAGTACATCGGATAGCTCCTCGTTTAGAATCTTCTTTGCTAAGTTCAAATTGACAAATATCACATTTTTTCGCACCGACTTGCATTTCACCGACCATCTTAGTCATCTCATCAATTTCTGTACCGGTACCCTTAATCTTGGAGGGAGCAGTGTCAAAAGCATCCTTCTCTGCGCTCAATTCTCCGATGACGAGCGACGGATGGTTACACGCTTGCCTTAGTCGTAATAACATGACAAGAGCGCTAGCATAGCTCACCTCTCCTGTAATTAATTTCTTCATGTTTTTGCTGGCTCGTTCTTCAATCCGTTGATATAGCTTACGTTCATACGGAGAAAACTCTGCGGATATCTTGATAATCTTGCGCTCCGTAACCTTAAAACCGGTCGAATTATTTTGACCATTTGCAGAAGGTTTGCCTCCGGGATTTAGTGCCCCATCCACTTTCAGAATGTCTTTCGTTCGACGTTTCATGAAAATGAGAAGAAAATGGCGAAGACGCCTTGTGGCTAATCTACTATCACCGCTTTTCATCGGACGCTCGATTTGTTCCTTCCACGTTCTTAGATCATCATATGGCTTTATCCTTAGAAATTTAATCAAACTTTGCAATTCGTCGAGACTATTCTGCATGGGTGTACCACTAAGACACCAACGGTAGTCGCTTCGGAGGGAATAGCATGCTTGAGTAGCCTTCGCGTTACGATTCTTGATTGTATGGGCTTCGTCTAAGATGATTCGATACCAGTGCAATCCGAAGCAGCCAGCTTTAGGGCCATTCTCATCAGGAGAAGAATTCCCAAATTCAGAAACTAGTATTTGATAAGTCGTTATCACGACATCATACTTAGCGAGATCTTGGAAGCGTTTTGTTCGTTGAGGGCCATGGTGGACACAGACTTTGAGTGTGTAGAGCTCGGACACCTTCTCCTTTACTTCGACCTCCCATTGTCTGATGAGGGCTAATGGTGCAACTACTAGAGTCGTCTTGACACTTTTAGATTTATTCCGCTCCTCAGTGCTCTCGTCATCGGCAGATTTGGGATTCTTGAGAATTAGCGATATAGATTGAAGAGTCTTGCCCAAGCCCATATCATCTGCGAGGATTCCGCCCTTTGAAATTCTTGATTTCTTACGGCTAGTCCCGAGCTCTCTACTTATCATCCACTCAAGGCCTTCAATTTGGTGAGGAAGAAGTTTTACGTTGATACCTTCGATTGTGCCATCATTCTCTTCTTCCTCATCATCGGTAGTTACAGCAATTTTCTCTGTGATTTCTAGTTTATTAAGGTTTTCCGCCGCATCATCAACTTTGGAGCGTGTAATCCTCTTCCATGGTTTCTTATCAGGCTGGTCTTCTTCATCTTCCCAAGCCCCTTGAAGAAGTGCTTTTAGATCATCCTGTTCTGCAACTGGCTGCGAGGAGTGAGGCATACTTAGGTCCAGGTTAGAAAAGTTGCTGGTATAACTATTATTACGGACAGGTTGATTTATTGTCTGAAATCCACCTGTTGTATTTCCCATAGATCCATATAGTTGTTGTTCATTTGATCGAGCAGGTTGGTCTTCAGATGGAGAAAGATCTCGAGGGACTGGGGTGGGACTACTGCTTGAGTTACTGTCTGTTTTTCAGCAACCACATCATATCTTTTTGTGATAATAACTTACGAGACTGTATTGTAATTTCGTGATGCAGATAGGTCTGTGGTATTTGGATTAGCGCCATTTGAAACTGATAAATGAGGTAAGTATCAAATTCTCGAAGTTTGAAGTGTTCGTTGTTAATGCATACTACACTTACTTTTGTTTCCTGACTGATTAACTCGAGTAATATCATCCGACGGATCAGGATTATCATTATAATTATTTTGCTGAAGCGGTTCTTCTACATTATCCGCTCCGAGGTTGTGTGAATCGTTATCTGACATATCGGAAATTGGGTTATTTTTAGATCTGTTGAATTTGTATTGAGTCCTGAAACGGAAGTCTTCTTTGATCAAAGCTGATGTTCTTATTTCATGAAGGTCGAAAGTTACTCGGGGTAGATTGATATAGCCTAAATTTCAGAAATTTTATAATTGTTAATGTTCGAAAGTCGAGTTCTACGAAAATGCCATTTGGCAGTCTTTCAAGCGAATGGTTGGTGTAATTGTGGGAGTAATGTTGAGAACTGCTTATGATTCCGTATGGCAATTAAGTCAACGCGTTCAGTATTACAGTATTAAGGGTAAACACTCAACCCATGCTCCTGTACGATTTCAGGGGCGTTGACAGTGCACGCCTTCAGTCATTGTTGACAAGGGGCCACTTTCTATGACTAAAGCGTTGCCATGGGCAATTGCATGACTCCAACAAGCGATCTATTATTTATGTTTTCCACGTTACACACCAGCCACTCAATGGGAGGACATACACAAACTCCTGCCTGCAGTGCCCACAAGAGTCCTGAGGTTAAATACTCTCCTAGGACCTGGCCCAGCTTGTATATCTAATATTAATACATTTGGCTCACGAGTCAATGATTCAAAATACTCCATTATATCTGTCGAATGACCTAATGACTTAATGACCTTTCATGTATTCTCTTAGAAATGATGACTAATTATTCTAATGAGTAATGAGTTACCTGTTTAGGAATGGCGTCAGGAGAGAGAAACAAGTACTGTAAATACGTGTTTCCTTTAGTTAGAAGTGATAAAATAGAAGATGTATGTTAACCACTAATTGTTATTACTGCTACAGAAAGCTTGTGATGTAAATACCACTCGAGTACTCCGACAATCTCAATCTTTCACTCACAACAAGATCTATTCCAACTAAATCTTTTGTCTGCGAATACCACCTAATCCATCCTCGTTTCCACAACCACAACTCTTAAAAGCACATTAACTGGCCTCAGATGTTCTCCAAATATACGCCGACGCCGATAATTATATCCAAGGGAGGAGAAAAATTGTGAACCATGAAATTACGAGGCTGGTCTTGGGGATGGGCGTGGAAGAGACTAAGACAAACGTGCATGATCAAGTTACGGATTGATAGGATTTCGCATATGGTAAGAATGCGATTTCTGGGAAGTAGCTTTAGAAATTGAAGAGTATTGTGCACTACATGTTCTTGGCCACGAAGGCGCAGGTGAGACTGTAAACACTGCCATAGTTGGATGGTGCAGTCGCATACCATCCGGGCCGATATCCCAAACAAAGTCCAGATTGGTTGGACGCCAATGTCACTTCAGATAGGAGATTTCTGGTTCTAATCTAGGAATACTTCACTACTTGCCTTGCTTTTCCGATTTGCTTGGATAAACAAAGGGTTTGAAACTTCCCTTTAGTAGGTACCCATGTAGAAAGAGCTGGGATTGTCTGAGATCAAGCACACTTCATTGACTTATTTACGAATGAATTCCACAATACTGGTGTCCCTGTAGGAAGGAGTACAGTAGATGATTACTAATAATCACGTGGTATTATGTACATATTCCTAATCAGTAACCCCAAAATAGTCTTCATGTTTTCATGCTAAAACAAGAAGAGTCTTCTAATGCGCGTACATAGCACTGATCGTATGTCATAGCAAGATAGCCGAACATATATCAAATGATTGGGAAAAACATTTTTAACATTTGTGCAAGGTTTAAGCAATCTGCCCTTGCCGAGCACTAGAAACTCGGGAATACTCATCATCAAACATAAGAAGATCAGCATGGCGTAACCCGACGCAGAAATAACAAAAAACCCAGGATGCAAATCGCTCGTTGTTAAATGCCATCAAAGATCGCCAAAATCATGTATACACTTCTAAATTTCAACACGTTTTATGATTATCAAAAATTTTCAAGCTCTCAAGGCAAAGCGCCAATTACCTGTCGGGTGTGGGGCCGGTATACAGGTCGAGGTTCATGTCCACAACGCGCAAACCCCCGTCTCACCGCTTGAGGCACTTCAAAAGCAATAGCTTAGTAAGCGCAGAGGTAAACAATTCTATAGCTGTTCTCAACTCATGTAATTCTTCCCTTCCCATACAGTCAATGCCAAGTCAGCAAACTTTGCAGACGGAGTTCCGAAAGATCTCGCTCCATGCTTTTTCTTAGCATGCCATTAGCAATGACTAGTTCATCCCACTCCCGCTGAGAGCGGCGGTCGGCATGACAGGCATATCCTAGAAACAGCGAGTTTCCTGCGCAAGTTTGTCAAAGTTATTGAGGCACTCTGGCCCAAGAAACTGGTAGATGGAATCATTGTACGGCGTTGACCGCATCAGTCTATGGTTAAATATTTGGGCCGGGGTAGTTATCTGTCCGCAGGCTCACTCTTTAAAGGCAATTACGACGTTGAATCAGCGATGATATGCCGCTAAGTTGGCGTGGCCTGTGCGGGGTCCAATAAAGTCATGGGGGGAGGGGGGGTTTTTTGCATCAGATTTTAATTGCGTATGCAGCTATCTAGCTATGACACAATAACAAAGAAAAGTACAGAAAAGATGACTCAATTTACAAGAAGAGTACCGTAGTCATGGGGTTAACGCTTTGCGAGGGCGCTTGAAAAGATGCAACTACCGATATCTAGCCGAGCATGCTTCTTCCTGTCGATGCTTAACGTTGCGTACAAGTTTGAAGTTTGGTCCAAGTGCCTCGTGTTGGTTAACAGTAATCAACGTCGTGCCCATTTGTCGGCTGCAAAGGGGAGATAATGAGGGGCAAACAGCTCGTCAAAGTGTATGATAGAATGGGAACATCCGCGTGATGGTACTGTTTGGGAGCAGCTGTATAGGAAGCATTGGAGGAGACATACTACTAGACAGATGTCCTTGGCCTATAAGCAGAGAAGATCTGCATGTATTATATGTTTGATTTTGATTGCATTAAGCCCAATTTGACGCCCTATGGGCCCATCTAGATTTCTATGAAGTTCAATGACTTCAAAGGAGGAAAAATCTTGGTGGGAGCCCACCAGACTGTCTAATGTATGGTAATCTATCATGGAATTATATCAATAATCTTTCTCGTAACTAAAGCGAATAGAAGCAATGTACTGTATGTGGCCTTGATCGGAGAGGAGCCAAATGTGCTAGATACCCTCTAACTTGGATCTTGTAGTAAAATATACACAACCAACAAGAGCTGAATTAATCTTTAAGGCTAGATTATGGCGCTCCTATGATTATTATTTTACGGCTTACTAGCCACCAAAAAGGCGTGTATACGCAGCCGTCTCCCATCTATTCGAAGAATGTGTCAAACATAGAATAGTTTGGAACCGACTGGACTCAGAAATTAAAAATTTTAGGGATTCAACAGGTGCATTTCCGTCGTAATTGGCAGGTACTAGCCATGATAACCACGTGATATTGATTAGGCATGGGGCTATGTATGTGTCCGCCTCTCCGTAAGCTTGATAGGAGTCAGAACTTTTAACATAAAATTAACAAAATACAACAATTTCCTTGTGTTAGTAATTCCAAGCTGTGATGTTTTGCTCAGGATATGGTGACTAGGAGGCTCAAAACTCTTGGTTGATATGTTAATCTCTCAACATGTGTAACTAATTTCATTGTGTACATTCTTGTAAACAACTTGCAAATGGCCTTTCCCGGAACTAAACGATTGTTAGTTGGGTAAGAATATTTGCTGGAAAAAAGGTGTGAATAAATTGAGATGACCAAGTTAATAGTGATACGGGGGCTCAGAAGGATATGGAGGAGACGAGTGCGTAAAGAAATGGTAATATTAAATAGAATGGAATTCAGGTCCCTGCTGAGTCTCTGACTATGGAGGACTGTCGAAGCTATCTAAATAGCTTTGGAGCTCATTGGTAAATATGAAAATTTATACAGTTAGTATTTCCGATGGATTCTACGGATCATGCCCCGATGGTCATCTTGAATTGGCATATAAACTAAACATGGAAAAACTATCTATAGCTAGCTGTAACTTTCAGTATTTGCAATTAATCTCCCACTGATCAAGTGAAAATAATCCTTTCGCCGTAGAATCTGAATAATCATGAGTTAATACAGAAGGCATCGTCGAACTGAAGTAAAGCTATGCACGAGGATTGATATAGTGTCTCTGACGTCAAAAGAGTCATCCTACATATATACATAGCACCGGTCATGTATCATAGCTAGATAATGAATACACATTAAATAGTTTGAAAAAAAGGATTGATATAGAAGTGGGTTAAGAAAAATGGAAGCTGTGTTGTGATTCAACGAGAGCTGAAATTATCCTTGGCAAGAATACACGTAGTTGGTGAAGGGCCGATGAGATAGAGATATTAATTCACACTTCACTTCATATATAGAGCTGATTTTCAGCACCCAATAGAACTTTATTGAACGTATGTAAGCCCTCTTTACCTCTTCCTTCACGCTGTGCGTTCGCGCGTAGGGATTGCGAGGTGGCTTACTGTGACCACGGACTCATAGGACGCCTGTAATTAGAATCACATGATGCCTATGGAATTCATTTAGTCAGATGTAAGATGTTCGATGTTCCCTCAATCCGCACAGGAAACTCCTATTATTAGGGTCACGCTAATGCATGATTACATAACAAGGTTTCCACCAATCTTCTGAATGCCGTGTCCCGTGACCTGAACACACAACGCCCAGCCTAGGGTAGTAGCCCTGCGTAAGGGTGTTGGAGGCATCACGTCTAGATCTTTTTTTTGCATCAGGCTTTAATTGCGCATACAGCTTTCTGACTATGATATAATATTAAACAAAATTTTCAGAATAGATGACCCGATTTAAAACTAAAGCACTCGTGCCTCGGATTTCATTTGCAAATACCACTGCGAAGTTGTGGTAGTTTTCTACTCAACCCAAGTCAATCCTCATCCGTGAATACTCACCCAAGGAAATGCCTCAAAATACCCGAGTTATCCAGACATGCCTCCATCATTCATTTCATTGTCTCCGCGCG